TAGGAACTTATGTTAATAACTATTTATTACATGCTTTTCGGTGGTTTATAGAAATAATATCGTGATATATAGTGATATAAAAACTGGTAATTTCACTGCTTGAAACAGTGAAACTACCACTTTGATAATTTCACTGTTTTGAATTTAAGCCCCTTACGTTGTTTCAGTGAAATACCAGCGTGCACAGAACTGGGTACCAACTTAATGACGTGACGTCGTAAATGACGTCACGTTGTATTATTATTTGGCGCGCTTTTCATTCAGTATAAGGTTTTTAAAAGGTCTTTTTAAAACGTTTCTTTGCATATAATAAAAAGAAAATTTGTTAAGTTTAGTGTAAGATCGAAATATATTTCACCTTGTGGACAACAAAAGTTCATATTTCACTCGTGGCTCCGCCACTCGTGAAATATACCTTTTGGTGCTCACTCGGTGAAATATATTCTGATCTTACACTGAACTAAACAAATATCCTCTATAACTTCTTGTCATAAAAAGTAAAATATATAATTGATTTTTATTTAATATGTTTTGTCCTCCTTACTGCGTACAGTATTTAATTAGTTGAGCTTCACTGTTTCCTTTGACAGCTCTTGGTTTTTTATCCCTACTCTGATTTCTATCGCTGCATTTGTTTCTAAACTAATTTAATAGATTTGCATAATCTAAATATATAGGTTTCATTCCACTTAGATAAGAATGATAACATTTTTATTTAAATATATTAAAGCAGCACGAATATAAATAATTAAAAAATATGTCAAATTAGTAAATATTTCTCCTATATAGATATGCAATGATTTCAGTCAGTGTATAACAAAGATAAGTTTCCATGGAAATTTCTTTTTAAATTTTCAAACATGTTGAAATTAATAAAAGTGGTATACTTCCAGGTATAGGTAGTAAAAATCAGTTATTTTGGACATATTTCATAGAGATTTATTAGGTTTGCTTGATTTTTTCATATAGTTTACTTGATTTTGATGTTTTGAATTTATGATTGGCATGCAACTTTAAAGATGATAAATTCCTTTCTGTTCATGTGATATTTGTCTTTGTCTCTGAAACTAGGTCAGTATAAGACACTCTTACGATAAGAAATTAAGATATATATTGCATTATGTTGTAGAATTACTTGATTCTATAATTAAAAATGTGGAGGATTTTAATAGTCCTATACTTCGTACATGCACTTGTGAGTTCTCTTTTTTCATTTTCTTTCGTCTGATACATTAAATGTATTTCATAACTTAAATTACTGTAATTGAATTTCTAAGCTTTGATATGGAACATGCCACCATTTAAAAAAAATAAACTAAAGTGAGCTACTTAGAGAATAGGGCCTGATTAGACTACACGGATATGCAGATTGACAAGCCTCAATACTCAATACTATTTGTGCAATGCCGTATTTTCGATCCGCGGGGCGCCGGACTAAAACGTTAAATACGACAAGGTGAACACAATGTCACTATTTTACGGTAAATATCCATACCGGTACCCTATTTGCGAAATCAATTAAAACGGTACCCTCTGTGCATATACACAAGTCATTCTCTGCTGAAAACAATAAGGCGACATACACCAATCTAGTAAATGTTCATTCTACTGATTAAAGGTGGCATGTCGAGTAAAAAAAAAAGTATACCAGTGAGAATGTCTTACCCCAGTAACTGAAAAATGGACAAATTTCTTAGAAATATATAGTTAAAACATTTAAGTGTTCCGTGGTATTATTCTGTTTCTGGTATCGTTCTGAAATAATGTAAATATCAAACATTTTATGAAACAGTTGAATTTTTAACTTCTTCAATTATATATAATAGGACCAAGTTACCAATCAATCTTAGATGAACTGTAGTGAATATTTTACTATTGAAACTAAAATTGTCATAAACTAACGGACAAAGCATAAAAGTTAAAACCCCATATCAATATATTATATTCTTTGATATTAAGTCTGGACATCATAAGGGTCAGCCCGAAAAGGTGAGAATAGAGCACACAGATCATTTGGACCGGAGTTTTGGCTTTACGTCAGCAAACACAATAATGTTCCAGAAAAAAATATTTATATCAGCGTACACATGCCCAGATTCATGTAATCATTTCCGATTCTGCGGAATAGAGCCCGGAACTCTTATGTGTTTGTCGAAAATTCACAGATTTGAGTTATAAAGTTCATTTGGACTTTAGTACCGGCTCAATGTCGGGAAAAAAGTTTTTGCTCAATGTCGGAAAAATACCAGAATATTCCGATGTACACATTTATACCACTTTGTAATGTACTGTGACTCAGCTGCTAAAATATGTTATTGACATTTTTATGTTCGGTAATGACCGTTGACATTGAGTGTATTTTAGTATGATCAAGAGAGCTTCTTCTTTTACATTTTAAAGACATGTATATTTATTTGGTAGAATAAACAAACATTCAATGACCCTTAACAGCACTTTGTGATCTACTTTAAGTTGTTTAAGCTATGACCTTTGGAAATTAGAACAGTTTTAGCTCGACTTTACAAAAATAAATGTACATGTATCTGTGAAATTTTAGAAATATTTTGAAGCAAAGGACTTCATGTTTTTCGGAGTAATAAAAACAACAACGACAAACAAACAAACAGACAAAAAACATTAAAAAAAACAACAACAAAAGGAAAGAAAAAAACAACAACAAACAGCAACATGGATCTGGTGTAACGCATCATAAAGTTTGAAACATGGCATCACAGTGGTTATAATATTTGGGAATGCTATAACCATTACTAGACAGTGGCATGTGACATTTAGCGTTAAGGTTGCAACATTTTTGATTATGACTTTTTGCGCGACATTTAGCGTAGAAACTGCGATATTTACCATCAGGACAATTGCGACAGCGTTCATTGTGACATTTAACGTCAGTCTTGTGACATTTAAGGTAGACCATGGGTAATGCATTACCTCCACTTTGAAGAGTATTCAAATATGCTAGAATTGCTTGTAAACTACATTGAAATTGAGGGGCGTTGGTTCAAACCCCAGAAGGGGCAACTTTTTTTTTTCTCTTTCTTTTTTTCTTTTTAACATTATTTATGTATCTCTCTGATCCCTTATGGAAGAAAAAAAGTTTTATTTAAATTATATAATTATTTTAGGAATTTGTTTTGCTAAATAATGCCAAAATTTATAGCAAATATGATACCAGATATTTTCAAAGTTCGATAAAATAAAAAACTACACGGTTAAAGTATTTTATATTTCGCATGATCAACAAATATACCTTTAAGAAAATTTAGGCAAACTTTGAAAACAGACCTTCATTTCGGTAAATTTTAGGGATATTTTGAATGAGGCATTTTAGATAGGGAAATAGTAAAATTAGTGTTAAAAGTGGATGGGGTAGAGGAACATTTTTATACATATTAAGAACATTTTGTTTAGAAACAAACATTTTGCTTGTGTAATGTGTTACCTGAATGTTATTATTTGTTTCTTAACAATGAGCAATAGAAAAACATTTTTTAAAATGATGAAATTACAGATTATTTACAGTTTCCTCATTTCTGAAAATAAGCCCTTCTAATGGCAAAGTCTTAGTTCAAAAATTTATTCCAAAACTCAAAAAACCACACGGGAAAATTTTTTTTTAAATTTTTGCATACAGGTGCCCTTTTAAAACATAAAACTGTCCTATTTTGTAAAATTTAAAAATTTTCCTTTTTTTTTTTTTCCCCCTTTTAACCCAGGGTTTTCCCTTTAAAACGTAAAGGGGGGGCAAATTTTTGCGGCAATTTTTAACTTTTAACGTCGTTTTGGAGTACCTTCCCCTTACAAAAAATTTTTCCATATTTAAATAAGGAAAGGGAAAACCCAGACTACAAATAAAGGCTTCTTTAAATTTAATAATCTTCATTACTACGAAATAGTTTTAAACTAAATTTTTTTCTCTGGAAAATTTAATTGGAAAATTTTTTCTTAGCCCCCTTTTCCCCTTAGTCTTCGTTTTTGTTTTGAATTTTTGCTCTCTGTTAATATAAAAAAATTTTTGGGGGCCCCCGAGCCTTTTCCTTGAAATATGTAATTTCCTACATTATTCCGGCTCTTGTTTTCCTATAAAACATGCAGAAAAGTTTTATTTGCTGTCCTAATTTACAGGTCTTGTTTTATTTTATTTTTTGACCCCGACCTTGACCCACTGAACAATTTTTGAAATTCTTACATTATTGTTCAAGCTTTGCACAACTGTTAAAACACACTTTTTATAAGAACATGTCAAATCACATCATGAATTATACATTGAAACAATGTGACAATGTGACTACTTCCGCAATAGAAATGAAATAATATTCTTGTATAACAACGGTTCTCAGTTGAGCGATTTTTTAGGGTCATAATGGAATTTTTGTATCTTTCTAGATCGCCGGAGCAGACTACAGAACGTGCGGTAATACTTCGTGTTATCACAATTCACTGTGCGATTCTGGTGGGAACGCGTGTCAATGCTCTCATGGATTTATGGTAAAACTGTATTGTAATACGGCGATAAGCATCTAATGTGCTCTAAACATTATAGATATCATGTTTGCCCATATTTCAAAGTTAAACATGTAACAAAAATGTAAACAAGTATAAATGCTGCAATAGAGAAGCTACGCGCAAATTTAAGCGCTCATTACAGATATCCTACGCACAGATCATGTTCTATTCAAATTAACTACTATTATACATTATTCCGAATGTTTTGTAAACTATTTTTGCATAATTTTTACTTATCGTATGCACTGTACATGAGAGAGGCCACGGGCCAGATATTAAATTAAAAACAAAACTATGTTTTTCATTGATTCCTACCTGAAAGGGATGTAATTCCATTGAATACAAACAAGGCTTACAAGACTTGTAAATGTAATGTGACATGAGAGTAGTGCAACATTGCTCTGTTTGTGTTACTACTGTAAGTCAGTAATATTAGATCAAAAGCACGTACATTTTCTTTTTCACCTATAATGCTACTCATTCTCTACAAATATCAACAACTAATCATGGTAAGAAAACATAATCAAAGTACTGCAGCACTGAATGCGACGGACATGCAACCGGAGAAAAATTAAGGCTTTTTTAGAAAAAAAAAACAAAAAAAAAAACAAAAAAATATATTACAGAGAAAATTTGTTCCATACTAGTTCGAGAGTTGTAGAGCAATATATTTTGTGTCCCAAACTGATATAATTCAGATATTCTACTTTCAAGCACTTAAATACAGAATGAAATTTATGCTTAAAACTCTGGTCAAACTTGTAAATCAGTGTCCTTATCGATTTATTCCAAGAAATGATATGTAAATAGAAAAAATACTGTCAACGAAATATTTCTATATAATAATTATACATTTGAGAATGCTATTTAGAATTGCTTCGTGTTATATCATAGTGGGCATATAAACAATAAAACATAAAGTCATTTGTATTTTTATTTCTCTTGGATATGTCTCATTAAAAAATTTTTTGGTTAAAATCATCAGCAATTAATAGTGTATTTTTTTTAGATTTTTTTTTTATTTACAAGGTAAAGATGTAGAGGCCAGAGCACATCGTTTTTATTTTAATTTAAATGTCACTTAAGCACTACAGTGTTTAGTTGTCCCTTTCAATTTAACACTCATTCCATTTTCAACTTGTTTGCTTCTTACAATTGTATAGAACTTCTAAAAGTATTGCATGATATCCGCTGGTTTATAACATGTATAATGTGTACTCAAAAAATCAGCACAGGTGGAGCAGAATCTATTTTTTAGAATATAGAATAACGAAGGTTAACTCATATCGTGACCTAGAAAAAATGTAAACAAACCACAAAGAATCGGAAGTAGAACTGATATTATAACTTCCTTACCATGAAAGACTACATGGTGGTACCTTAAGAGTTGAAAAACTCTCTAGCTTCTTACATGCATTTTCAAAAATAGATATTTATACTAACCATTGTACTGTATCTAATTTATTAATAACTGCTGAATATTCAGCTAAACCCGCGGTATGAGTCACGAAAATAGTTCTTTTTTTTATTAATGCGCGAGTTATCCTAGAGTCACGAAAAACGTTTGATTTGTTAATAATAATGTTTTGTATAATGTAGAAATATTTATTTCCTACTAATAATGTCTTGGAACTCAGAGCTTACACCTTTATTGTAGTATAATTTGCTGTCCTACTTTTTCGACAGCGGTAAAATCGTTTCGGCAGTAATTTGCATATTGAGCATTAATACTACGGGACTACAACGTTTTTATCAATAATATACGTTCATATTTTTAACTTAGATAACTTAATTTGAAATTGAAAAGGCTAAATATGGAAGATTTTAAGATATCCCGACAAAGTATGGGAGTTTTGAAGGATCAAATTCATGTACTATTTCTTGGGCTGTTAATCGGTTAAGGACACTTTTGCGCGATTGTAGCTGACGAAATCCCATGTGTAGATGACTTAGCTCTGAACGCGCCTGAGGGCGCGTCCGTCGCAAAAAATCCATATGTAAATAAGCCAAAACAAATATTTTCATCGACTTTATTATTTCAAAATGTACTTTACATGTTTCGCGGCAAATGGTATATCATGATTTATAATACTGCACGTTTGTAACGTCGTCGCTTTTCATTGGATAATCGTGACGTTTATATTATTAGATATAAAGATCGTTGACAGGTTATATGGCCCTATATAAACGACTATTTGTAAATATAACCCGAGCCGCTAGTCACGATTATCCAATGAAAAACGACGTTACAAACGTGCAGTATTGTAAAAAACTATATAATCGTGACGTTAATATAGTTTTATATACAGCCAGCCCGCATAGCTCAATCGGTTAGAGCGCGAGACTTGTAATCTCGACATTGTGGGTTCGATTCCCGGGCTGGCCAACTAAAATTACTAATCAGTCTTTCGGATGAGACTTTAAATCGAGGTCCCGTGTATGGGTGCTTAAACACTTGGCACGCTAAAGAACCAGGAGAAGCTTCTGTAATTGGGGCATCTTTCTGTATCTGTAATTGCACTATCCTCCGAAAAATAAAATGACTAATACTCTTCTGGGGGGCTCGCCCATATGGGCAACCGGTGGCGAGTATAAATAAACGCAAATACACACACAGTTTTATATACACGGCTGTTGTCGATTCATGAACAAATCTTAATTTTTTCTCTAAAAAATGATATTGCTGTATTATAAATTCGTTATAAAGATTGTTGACAGGTTATATGGCCGTATATAAACGGCTGTTTGCAATATAACTTTTACTATTTACAAATAGCGTTTATATAGGGCCATATAACCTGTCAACGATCTAATAATATACACGGCTGCTGTAGAATTATTTTATGCTTTTCAGTGGATTACTGATTTATCCGTGAAAATTATATTTGATAATTTCACAGTGAAAAATTATCAAAATATAATTTCACACTTTTCAATGACGAGACTACTTTTTTTTAAGATTTTCACCATGTGGTACCTCAATTTTATTTTTGCTGACAATTCTGACAATGTCAGACTGTTTAAAGAAAAAGCAAAGCTGAAATTGATAAATAACTTAAATGTCAAAAGTAATAAAAAGAAGAAAAGTTATTCTATTCATTCAAATTCCAATCACCAAATTTCGTCTCTAAATTTTTTTTGTTTCATTTTTACAGTCTGAAAATACATTCCTTCCCCATGCAAAACTGCTCTTGATGACATTTGGGCATATCCTACGAGCAATAACTGCCGTATGCTTTATGAAAATTTGAAAAGCAATGACAGCCATCACTCGAAGAATAAGGAAAACAACCCAGCGTTCCTGAGCAAGCTTCCAAGTTTTTCATTTTCTTAGCTCCTTTTTTGAATGTTTTCACATCTGTCAACACTTATTTTATGTCTGTTACAATCCTCAAATAAGTTTTCTTTCATTTAAAAAGGTGTATGACTAACAAATCCAAATTATATCCCTCTGAATCTTACACAATTTTTTTCCTCCCATGAAATACACAACTATAAAAAATGGCTGCCGCTTACATTTTACAAAGCCAGGTCTAATATAAAATCGCAGTAAGTAACAGAAATATGGATGAATGGTTGGACTTTTTCTCCTACAAAAAGTGTTTGTTTTTATTATCAAAACAAGCGATCATTCACATTTTTTTTAATAAAATGAATAAATATCACCGTCATTTACCGTTGATTGACGGACTTATTTTTCAGCTCAAGACTTCTTGTTTTTAATGAGAAATTCTGACTAAATGGGGCTCTCAATGGGGAAACAGATTTTAATATTAACGTTTATATTATGGAAATTTTCGTTTTAACTTGTTGTTTTTAAGCATAAAATAAAAAGAAAATTTGTTTGTTTGTTGTGTAAGATGTAAATTTATTTCATCTCGTGAACTTTAAAAACAGTATTCTCACTCGTGGCTACGCCACTCGTGAGAATAATGTTGTGACGATTGTTTCTATTCTGCCTAGATTTTATAATGATATTTAGTGGTTTTATACCTAAATTGCCGATAAGTTAAATTGTAAACAAATATGTTATCTTGTGTTGAAATATATAGATTAATATTTTATAAATAAGTAATAAATACATAAAAATTAAATGATTAGATTTAACAACTTATCTGTAGCAATTATTTGGTATAACGGGCATATTTTTATTATTTGTAAAATATCAGGACAATTCGTACCTAAAATCATTCGAACTCAATGCCATTCGAACCAATATTCGACCCATTATCAATATCTCTTGGATGCTTGATTTCTTCAACTTCAGTAAACGATCATTAAATATAACTACATAATTGGGTATAAAAAGAGCTCAAAGCTGCGGACAATCAGTCTCTGTCCAGCTGCCGAAGTGTCAACACGGGGGCCTCCGTGGCCGAGTGGTTAAAGTCGCTGACTTGAGATCACAGGTCCCTCACCACTGTAGGTTCGATCCTCAATCGGGTCGAAATCTTTCATGTGAGGAAGCCATCCAGCTGGCTCACGGAAGGTCGGTGGTTCTACCCAGGTGCCCGCTCGTGCCTGAAATAATGCCCGGAGGGGCACCTGGGGTCTTCCTCCACCAATAAAGCTGGAAAAAATCGACGAAAAAATCTCGGCGGGACGCTCTAGGATGACCCGACTTGAGTGTACGGTCGCCCATATGGGCTTTCCGGCGGCGACCTTAAATAAACGCATTAAAAAAAAATCAACACCACAGCAACAGTTAATTAATATTTTAGTTTAATTACTTGGGTTCTTGAACTATTTACGAAGTATTTCAATTGCATCAATTCAACATTGCGTTAGGTGTAATTATTATTACTAAAGTATTGAAAACTCGATATCCAAGTGGTTTTTCTATGTATATTAAATAGCCTTCAAAGTGTCACTCTAATTTTATATTAAGTTCAAGGACCACTTATTATCTTTCAAGCACGTTACTGTTATAACATTAGTTAATTAAACTTGATACCAAAGTTTAAACAAATTATGGTATATTCATTTGTAACCAATCAATTGGCAAAGTAGCCTTAAGAAAAATTATATATATAACAGCTAGCCCGTGCACGTTACACTGTTTTTAAGGCCCACTCGATGAAATAAAATTTCATCTTACACACAAACAAACAAATATCCTCTATATCTCGCTTTATTCCTCTAAAATGATACTTGCTGTATTATAAATTCGTTATAAATATTTCTAAGAGGTTATATGGCCGTATATAAACGGTTATTTGTAATATAACCATCGCCTAGCGGCTCGGGTTATATTTACAAACAACCGTTTTTTATAGGGCCATATAACCTGTCAAAAAATCTTTATAACTAATAATAGATACAAAACATCAAAGGGCGTCCAAGCAAGAAATGCAGCAAAGGAGGATGAACTAGTAGACATCTGATGACTTGATATTCTTATAAAGTTTTCAATGGTTAATTGGATTTAACTAGAATTGCATATCATAGATAAATGGGAGGCCAACTGACATTTTCCATCATGAGCTAGAGATTAGAACATTAAATGTACTTTCTTTGGAACATACAAATCAGTCGTCAAAATGAACATTGCATGTTTTTAATTATTATATTTGTTACAAATATACAAATAGTAACAAAAGGGACTAATACAGAAATATAACATGCATTATTTTTCATGTCAAATTATTAAAAATGGTTTTTATTAATACATGTACCTGGGACTTAAGATACGGTAGTTATATTTGAGGTCCCAGATAAATACAGAAAGAAAACACACACTGGACTGAAAAAAATGGAATGAATTTTAAACTGATCAAATTCAGGAACTTTTGTTTGTTATGCACGTGATATGATGAAACATTATTACATGTATTACCTGAATTTTAGGTATGAGGAAATGTTTTTGCATATATATGTGTATGTATCTTTTATATACATAAATATATGCCCGTAACATAACAGACTATAGCTTTTAATTGTAAAATATGTAAAATATCTTAAGTCTCTTGTAATTCTACTCAAAGAATGGCTATGTACCATGTAATGTTTATCTTTTGTATTGAAGTATATGTAAGTGTGCACAAATGAGACTATAATAAATAAATAAATAAATAAATAAATGTACGTAATGTATACGTGCGAGTCAAAGATATAAAAGCTACTTGACATTGGTGATAAATAAAGAGCTATTGTTAATTGATTTATTGGGAGATAAATAGCTTTATATATCTGATAATTATGTTAAAACATTGTCGCCATACTTAACACTTTTAATGCCCATTACATGACATCTTAAGTTGTATGTTGCAACAAATATTAGTTGATAGCTTTTTTATCTTTCAAGTCTTATATATTGATATATGTTTGGTGTTTTGATAAACCTCCTTTCTTGTTGTGTCAAAATGACAATGATATTTTTATTCATATTTATTAAGGGCGAGACATGTGAAGAAGATTTCGACGAGTGTATGGGTCATGACCCATGCTATCATAGAGGTGTATGCATAAATGCATTTGGATCTTACTCGTACGTACATTTCTGATACATTTATGTTTGATCAAAAATAATATTACATTTCATAAAGCAAGATAATGATATCACAAACTCATCATTTGCTTACACATAAAAAGAAAATAGTGCTTATTTACGGCAATGTGCCTCATTCCAAATTCAAAGAATACTCCCCAGACATTTCAACATTCGTTATTTCGTTAAATTGAATAATGCAATTGCTAAAATCTAAATTGATATTTCTTTATATTATAATGTTAAGTCGCATAAAAATGTGTTACGTTATTATAATAAAAAGTTATAATTAAGTTTTTTGTTTGTTTCGCACCTCATATTGCTGCTGCAAATCGATGTTTAAGTGTTACTAGTAGTGGTTCTGTATTAAAGATGCCAATGTTTACAAGGATGGAAAAACGGTGTACAACAACATTGTGAGATAAAAACGAATCCAGATATCAATTTCCGTCGTTGCAAGCCTGGATGGATGGGTGATCTTTGTTTGGATGAATGTTCAATCAGGTTTTTATTATTATATGCTAAAAGACATACAAAAAGATAACATGTAACTAATTTGTATATAAAGAAAACAAACAAGTAGCAATAGAAAATCGTCCTGTTTTCGGAATTCAGAGGTTCCGTATTTAGAGGATTTTTTTCTCAATAAACCTTTAAGAGAAAATATTGTTTTCAGACAGACAAAAGATTATCTTTACACATTAACTGTTGGTAAAATAACATGAGTGTGCTACTCTCGTGACCTGTATCCCTCAAGTTGTGTAAATTACCCTCACAACAATTTGTCATTAATTGAATATATGTCATGTTATGAAAAACTTTCATTAGCGTGATGTTTGTTTGTGATACAGTAAGTAAGATACAATAGTTTATTTTCGTCACTTCAGAAACATAGTAGAAACATATAAAGGCAATCTTTTGAAATGTATAGAGATATATTTCAGATAGGTTAATGAAGGGTCATCTATTTTTTTTCGAACCATATTTATTTATGTCAGTGTGTGTAACTGCTCAATGCTTGGTCTTCTTAGCCTTCTTTTTCACTTGTTTATATGAGCGTTGTTAGGAAAGTTAAATACTTCTTCATTTTAAATGAGTTTGCGCTAATTGCAATTTTGAGTAACTTTTTTATTCGAGAAGCTTTTGCAATGCAATCAAAGTGCTCCGTGAACAGTTGATTATGTTGCTATGGTGGTAGGCTCTGCGATATAACTCATTTTTTTATTATTTAAAAATTAGTATGAAATAAATACTTCATGCTAACAGGAAAATGCTGTTACAGGGGCTATGGTCCAGTCAACATTTGTGCCAAGTTTCATCAGTATTGAAGCATTTTTCATAGTTTCATAGCAGTTTGAACTTGTAACAGGAGGATTTTACAGTGGAAACGACCTATTTTAACAATAAAATTGCCACACATTATCTGACTGGGGAAAATATTAAAAACCTGTTTTAACACAATAAAGAATTCAAATAGAAGACTAAACCAGTACGAAATTGTAAACAATCTGAAATTATGGAACATTAAAATCTGTATAAACATGTCATTATTCAGAACCCTCTTGTGCCGTTGTCTGCTCTTGCATGTGTCTGAGAACATCATCAGTCATATGTTGCGTAATAATACCACGTGACTGGTTGTTATCTGTGTGGGACAAATACAAAAGACGGTCTAGATTTTATTTTCTGTCAGAACCTTTTAATATTTCATTGGTACGCGTTTTACTTTTGAGGCATGGAGGAGCACGTGACCAGTTTTCGGTACATGGAGGAGCATGTGATCTGTAAACCGTACACGATTGGTTAATTGACCTTTTCGATAACCTGCTTAAATACCGTTTGTCGTTACTTTACGGAATTACCTCTAAGGAATTAGTCAGAATCAAACCTAATTAAGAACAAAAACCTATTACGTGACATTTCTAATTTTCTATAATTATTTTACCGTTTAAGGTGGAAAAAACTTGAATGATTTATTTGAAAATTATCATTGTTTCTTTAATATATGTATCTCAAATTTTACAAACAATAAATTGTTTATACTGAAAATCTACAAAATTAAAATATTCGTAGTGGCATCTGCCATAATAGATAGAATTATTTTCTGCGTAAACTTGTGTGTTTACTTTATTTTTTTTTTGCTTTTTAATTATTTTTTTTAATATGGTAGGCCTATTTAATCATTTTTCTTCTAAAAAGAAATAATTGTTTTATGTTCGACCTTCTCCGGTCATCAACGGTCACCAGTTTCGAAAGACCTTCTTCTATGTTGATCGATTATTGTCAACTCTATTCCTGATATAAACGTTTATTTATTCCCCTCTGCCAAAACGGTGTTGAAAATAGTTAAATGAAATATCTTTATATCATGAAAAATGTTCCCCGCAGGAAACCATTTTACTTGTAAATTAATGGGATACAGTGTGGAATTTCAGTGTGGAACCCAAATAAAGAATGTTTAATGGAAGAAAAAAAAAACATCATTTTTTTCATTAAATGAAACAACATGAATATTTGTTCAAACATGCGGATTCACTGATCGTAAAAATAATTCCGATACATTCATCCTGTTTACAGTTACACTCAAACCATTTATACGCCTTATGATTGCTGAAAAAAATAATTTTAGATTATTGATTTAACAACTAATACGCGCCTTTCATACGCTGTAGTCGGATGCCTGTCAATTAATTTGCCTATATAATTCATAACATGTATTATGTAATTTAAAGCCACCACTGCGGAGCAAACCAAGTTTGCACGAAACATGGGAGAGGTAAGATATGCGTATGTCAGGCTGGATGGACAGGAGTCAATTGTACGACGGAAATTGATGAATGCACATCGCAGCCATGCAAAAATTTTGAAGTTTGTAGAAATACGATCGGCTCATATACTTGCGAATGTCCAAACGGGTGGAATGGCACTTCTTGTACTGATGATATCGACGAATGCACGATAAACCCGTGCAAGAATTCAGGAACATGTACGAATACAGACGGATCCTATTACTGTAACTGTTCACATGGTTGGTTTGGTGTAGACTGTGATCTAGGTACATTTTTACACAGTTTATTTATACTATCATAAGAAGTTTTCTTTGTTGCAAGATGTATAACTCGATGTGCTTTTTCAAAGAATATCCATTATTGTGCCATTTTCGTTCTTCTTTTCAAAATAATAATTACGCTAATATACTGGAAATGTCTAATATTAAGGTGATATCTTACAATTTAAAAAAAAAACTTAGATTAATTATAGTGCCTGAAGTAAGTAACACGAATCCGAGCGACACGAAACTGCAGTCGGGTACACATTTTACCTTATATTTTTCAGGTTACATTACTACCAAATTATAATCCTGAAATAGTTTGGCTTCAAAATCAATGTGCTTATTGGTTTTCTTTTTCTTTTCAGTCGAAAATGTATTGTGTGTGTTTTTTCTATTTAAAATACTTTTTTGTTTATTACTTTCTAGTTCAACAACCTCGTTTTGAAGACACGGTACGATCTGGTTGCACGAGTACCGGATGGAATATAAGTTTAGATGTCCGCATTCTTCAGTCGATTTATCCTGGTATTACAGCTAACAACATTTACCTTGGCCCTTCTAAATGTACAGGAGAACAACGTGACACAGAACTATGGTTTAAACAGAGCTTTAATGAATGCATGACGTCTGAAAAGGTTTGAATATTTAACATAAAATCTAACTATATATTCAGTTTGCAATAAAAATTATCATGGTCAACATGATTTGATTAGTACACAATTGATAAATATATCGGTGCATATATTTGTATGAATTTACGTATGAACATTAAATATTGACTAGTTATATCTTCATCGTCTCCCTCTTATGGCTAATGGATAGCCTTTAATGGCTGAGGCATAAGAATTGCAGCCACCGTTCTTCCCTGCGTAATCTTAAGAGGTGACTAAATGGGTTTGAATAATTGAAGTCTATGCATATCTTAGCTCCAGTAGGCGAGACGTTACGAAACATTTTATCCCATGTGGCTTAGGGGTTTGAAGCATCATAATTGCAGCCACCGTTTATCCCTGCATCATCGTAAGAGGCGACTAAATGGGTTTGAATAACGAGTCAATGCCTACTCTTAGCTACAAACAGTTGAAGCATGGTTTCAATCCCTGGTGTTGCTTTAGTTTGTAAACCACCCGTGGTAAGCCAAAAACCATAATTTCCTGTTTCGGGCAGCCATGTGACCTAAAATTGTGTGGGGTCGCCATGAAGCAAAAATAAACTCTCATCGATTTTTTTAAAACCATTTGGCTGTTTTTATGACAGACTGGACTAAACACAGTATCACGGTAAGGTGAAATTGCTTTATGACTTAGTTGATTAACTTTAACCTGAAGATGACCTTGAGAAATACAGGACTCAATTCTGAACCAACACTTTTTAAGCAACCTTTGGAGGATTGAAATGATAACCGCCTGTTATTTAAGATGTTAAAATTCCAGTCTATTTTTTGCCCAATTAAACCAGAGTGTTTAAGCTTCGCCGAATGGACCGCGTACTCTTAATCGCAAACACAACGATTTGGAGACAAAGTTGATTACAAGCAATATTAGGTACTGTCCTTCATATAATACATGACATTTATGTTCATTTTCCTATATAGCATAACTATTCCGTAATTTCAGTATGAAGGAAATACACAGACATACCAAAACGTCCTATTTTATGCAATATTTGATACTGTCGACCCTTCAATTGTACGTCATCATTATTGGTCGTACAATGTCGCCTGCAATTTCGATCAAGGGGAGAGCACTTCGACGCATCTTCATCACATTCATGAAAGTTATAGTTCGAATATAACGGGTCACCGCGATATTTCTATAACTTTCTATAAAGATCACACCTACCAGCAGCAGATTCATGGAAACCCTTTAAGTGTCCATGTCGGAGATAAAGTATTCGTCAAAGTGGCCACATCGATCATGGATTGGAACACTAAATTACGATTACACACCTGCCACGCGGTATCATCGGACCTTTCACGTGCTGATCACATGCTTATTCGAGATGGGTTTGTATTTCATATTTGCACTTTTGGATAAATACATGTAGATAACAGACGTAGGATCATAGGACAGAGTCAATCTAAGCAACAATATTCGTTTCTGTTCACTTTCCATTTGTAAAGTGTTTCCATGTTTTAACTACGAAGAGAGAGAAAAAGAACAGAATAAGCAAATACGACGCTTTTAAGAAATAAATAAAGAAAGAATTTGAAAATTGAAAATGTATTTTTTTAATTTGAGACATGTTTGAATATTTACAATCCGTATAACGAATTTTGTGTTTTATGCAAATTCCGGATAAATCACAATGTTTATCTTTGCATAATTTGATACTTTTGTTGCCTCTGAAAATTGTTACTGTCTGATGCCAGCTCATATTACTTTACTTGTTCATTTGACAAATTCTCACTGATAAAAAAACCATAAAGAATAGAATTAACTTGGAGTTTCATTAAAAAAAAGCTAGTTAGAGAAAATTATTGATGACTCTCCTTTTGTGTCTCAATTTTGTCTTTTCTCGCGTGTTTCTTTCATTCTAAACGCGAAAGTTTAATTTGGCTTCTGTTAAAGAGAATGTGTTCACTTTTTTTCAGCTGTGAAGTAGACAAAAATACTCATATCATTTCACAATCGACCCATGAAACCAGATTTGTGTTTCTCGACTTTGAGTATTTAACTTTCAACGAGGGGTTTGACATTTTTTGCAACGCAACATTTTGCCATTCTGATGACTTCTCACCGGAGTGCACTCAAGCATGTAGACAAATCCCTCAAATTGTTGGATAGTACGATCTGCTGAAAAAAAATGGGTTTAGAAAGATGCTTTTTCATATTTCATTAGTAGATTTAAGAAAATGCCAATCTCAATATTTCTTTAGTGAATGTAAGAAAAGTAAAATAAAATGTCTTACAGATCAAGTATTACGTTTTGCTTTTAAAAAATAAAGCGTAATTAATGCGAATGTATCTTGAGTTGTCTGTTATTTACCCATTTGACTGACTTAAAGACCGTTTCTGATATACAATGGAAAATATATTATGAAAAAGTATAGTATTGCAGACAGCTTTAAGTTCATGCCCCAACTGAGAGGTGAATATCTATCTGTGCGCATTATACGTATGTGTGGTCCATGTGTGAATGTTTATTCAATTAGACCAATGTTATCTACTTGATTTTGTTTGTTGACTGTGTTTATGTTTCATTATACTTTCGGTTTAGAAATTGACGATTTTGCCTCTGATAAGGGAAGTTCTTATCAATATCTATTCCGTACAACTCAACGCGATTATAATTTTTCTTTTTTCTATCTGGTGACATTTAAGATAAATCAAATGTAACATTTTATAAAAAAGGGTGGGACAGTCTTTCTATACTATCATAAACATTTTCCAAAATCAAATGTTGGTCAATCACCATTTTAACAGTCAGTCTTTTGAATATATAGCCAACTTGGCAATAAAAATTGAACTTAATTACATCAAGGTGATACAAAATGGTACATTTTTATTCAAATATATTTCGTTGGCCGATCTCGAAAATGTTGACAGATATTTTTTTGGGAAATATTCTTACAGCAAATGTGCAGAAAGAAAATATTAAAAAGACTTAAGAAGTGCCCAATTTTCAAATTCAACATTTTTAATCTGTCAGATTCGACTCACTCATTAAGATGAGGAAAGCTACAAATTTCATGTCTAAAAATTTAGTTCGACGATTGTCGAATCATCCAATGTTTGAGGAAAATATTTCTTCTGAACCTGAAAGAAGTATTATTAATTTTAAGATTGTACGAACACTTACTGAAAAGTATTCAACTAGTGAATATTCGTAAAATATATTCTTACTTTAAGCTTAACCTTTAGATTTAAATAAACGAAGTGATAATAAGATTAGATTTTTTATATTGTTTTTGTCTTTTAATCGTACCACTAAGAGAGAAGTCCTTTGAAGTTTTATTTGAATAAATTCAGATGTGTCGTAAATTTGTGTTTCAGATGCGCCGAGTACATGTGAGGCTCTAATTAAAACAATAAAGAAATAAGGAAAGACTCTCAAACTCTCAAAAAAATTTTTTTTTTCAATTTGAACAAAATGCAAAATGATTAAAATTGTTTACCAACCGACCCGTATCAATCTTATCATTAAAAGTCTAAGTCCTTTTTCGTAAATCGCAATTTATTTCCAATAGGCAAGTATCAATACAACCAGAATACATAACTATAACGGACTACAAACATGCTTACCTAGATAATGTATATATTTGTCTAGTCGCCTTTTGAAATAGTGGTAAAGTCAAAAATGACCAATGCAACCATTTAAACAAATCTCCCAGCATATCATGTTTTTCTTTTTGTGACAATTCCTTGCATTGTTCTGTAATCCTTTCCAGTGATTTCGAAAACGCAGAATACTTACAGAAAATACAATCAGAGCGGATATCAGCATGTTACGTCCACCACCAGAAAACTAAAATAAACCGTGATAATTCTTTAATATCTGAATAATAATTATAACAAAACTAACGACGACGACGACAATAATTACAACAGCAACAGCAACAACAGCAACAACAACAACAACAACAACGCCAGCAGCAATAGCAGCGGCAACAACAATAACAATAGCAATAACAATAATGATAATGATAGAAATATTATCAAGATAAATTTTAAAAATATAATCTGTATAAAAATGTGAAAACGTTTTCAATGAAAAAAATAAAATTGACAAGATAAAGTCTGCATTTTTTGAAATTACAAGTCATTTTTCATACATTTCCTTCTCTAAAATTTTGCAAAGTTAAAATTAAGATGTACCCACCATCTTTTATAACGTTGATAATAAAAACTTGTATGTGAATATTTGAGATGACTACTACGGCGTTTTATACAGTGATGTAAAAATGTTTTGGCATCCTTTCCTTTTATACTGGTATCAGAAAGGCAAGGTGTTAACCCTTTTTTTTACTTTTATCATAATTTTTATAATTATTCCACTTGCTTACTTCCGTTCAGATGAGTCTTAAAATCTATATTTACACATTTGCCTTCTTCATAACTTTCAACTGCTTCAGGGACAAAGTATGTGATGCTTTGAAGGAATGATAACACAAACTGAAACCGATATGCCCAGACAACCAATCTAAACAATTGTTAAAATTTTTGTTAGCTTTTTACGATGTATCAATGTCTATTTAGTTTTGATAGTTCAAGATATAAAGTTTCTTACTAATGTATTTGATATGTAGATAAGCCGTGCGAGTAGGAAGATGAAGGACCGCCCTTCGACAGTTTTACAAAAGCATTAGCCGAACAGTATTTTTAAACAGTTATAACGCTCTAACAATATCGAACAATTCTACGGGTGTAGGGGTTGGGAGTTTTGTGTGTGTGGGGGGGAGGGTGATCATGTGCTTGTTTGAGTATTCAAGGGCATACATTGTTTAATAAGCATTTGTGATATGACACAGCATGTCTTTTTTTATGTTAACTATATAATTATTAGTAGACTGTAAGTTTATTATGTCAGTTTTTTTATTTGACAGTTTAAAGAATCTTTAAAATTATACGGCAGCTGAAAATTTATGAAGTAATTTCATTTTCGTCAAATAAAGGAATTTTAATAAATCACCATTTGGTAATTAAGATTTTTGACAGGTTATATGGCCGTGTATATATGACTGGGTTATAATTTACAATCGTGGACCATATAACCTGACAAAAGCTTTATAACAAGTGATATAATCATTAAGAACACAAACTATATGGAAGGGCACTAAAGAATCGTGCGCATAAACTTTAAGTAATTAATTTTCTTAATTATTATTTCATCAATCAATTTTCACACAATCAAAGCTGCTTAACTGATATGTACATTTTGTTTGATTGGTAAGATTAACGTTGTCTTCTATTATTGTTATTTATAGTATTTTAGGTCATTTTATCAACATTTACAATGTTTTGCTCTAAATGGAGTAAAGTAAGTAATAAGTAAGGATAAACCAAACTTCCGTTAAAGAGAACCTTTTCGCATAATTCTCTATTTTGAAACATACGAAAATATGTACATTAAAGGCAATAAACGCCTTAATATGTGTTATACAATACATTTTATCTTTTGAGATCTTTTGAGATCGTCACTTTGGTCCAATAAACTTGACATTTATAGAATGTATCAAATACCTTTACCATACCGTGACTTAATACTGTGGTAGGGTTATGTTTTTTATGTTGTCCATTACGATAATTAATTGATTTCTAACCATACAAAGTTTACCTTAAGTAGACCTGAATAACATTTGCACATATTTCTTGTTACAACAAACACAATACTTGCAAATACGCTTCATTAAAATGAAATAATATTTTAGTTTTTTCTAAAAATAGGTACATATACTTGAACAAATTTGGTGTACGCTGACCTAACTAGAAATCAATAGTATACATGTACATGACCTCGCCCACTTATTTTTATTTATAATTCCTTTTTCTCAAAATGTTTTTATAACATCTAATATTCAATAAAACAACAAAGGAAAGTTGTTCTATTTAATTTCATCCATATATACTATAAAAAGTAGTACTATATTTATAGTATACATGTATATGATTGTCTGCGACTAGAATGGGAATTCCGATTTAGAAGAGATCCATGTTCTGGTTTCAATAATGATCAAAAAGGTAAGTTATTTTTGATAATGTGAATTCTATTTCAACTACGATTATATTTTTATTTTGATTTCTTTAATCTGGAAGATATTTTTTATCAATATCTTAAACTTGGTAGGTAAATATTGCATTGATTTAATTTCTTTTTACTTTCGATTTCGTTTTGAGACACTAGTCAACCGTTTTTAATTTTGTGATTTTATTTTTTTAAAGAATGTGATGAGCTTTAATTCCATCGATTTTTCAGTTTTTGCTTTAAAGGAAGATCGTAAAATTTGATTATTATTTAAAGTGATTAGATGAGCACCTAGCTTGAATCTATGCATAAATTATAATATAATATAATCATAGTGGCTTGAGTGGTGTATACAATTATTATTATTCTATTAGATAAAGTTTTGAGCTTCATATTTATTATTTCTGGTGTTTCTGCAAAGATATCAAAGGGACACTTGATATTTAAATTAAGTAAGATGTTAGAGTTGTTTCCCTTGCCACAATACCACTGTCAGATGTAACATTGGTGAAGGATGGTTATCATGGCAAAAAGTCTTTTTTATCGACTACCCTTTGTGACCGACTACCCACCGTGATTTTTATGGTTTTTTTACACATAAATTCATTAAAAATCTACCGACAAAACATCGTTTTTAAAAATAGATATATCTACTGTGTATATAAACTACTACGTAGAGATTTATATACACAGTGCAGTAGATCTATATATTTATATCCTATTTTAAATAAAGTTTCCTTTTAAAAGGAAAGGCTTGCATAGTTGTGCCTTCATCCCAACCCTTAAAATTGTTTTTTTTTGTTTCAATTTATTATCACAATTTTTTTGAATTATGGTATTTGTATATCATAAAGGGTTTATTTAGTTGTTTTTTTTTTTGTAAAAACGAATATTTTTTTGTCAAAACGATTTGAAATCTATTCTCTATTGCATAAAACTAATAAAGAAAATAATCAATCGTAAAAATACAAACGTGGAGATCTATATCTATCATACTGAAGGAAACAAGTGTGCACATTTCATTTCCACTTTTTCGCAGAGAAATCATTCGTTTTGGCAGTTGCTAATTTCATTTATATAGCATCTTTATGGACAAGTAAATGCACTTAAAAACTTCGTTACGTGGTACCAATTAATAAACATGTATCAACTATGTTACACGACCACAGATACGATGCGCTATTTGTAGATCAGCACGTGGTAAGGTTAATGATATGCATGGGCTATTTTTAGATTACCTCACTGCGTTCATTAGATCTAAATATAACTCGATCATGCACTAATATTCTGTGTGATTTGGTAAGCGTGACGGAATACTACTACAGCAACCATTCTCTATTGTATAAAACTAATACAGACAAAAACAATTACAAAAGAAACTAACTTTTGCGTCTTGAAAAAGAATTGAAACGGAACAATTTCGTTTATAATTTATTACGGTTTAAACCGATAAATCAAGTAAAAATAGAAATCCTATTTATATAAACAAACTTGGATTACCGAAGTAACTAAAATAGCTTAGATTTCCGTAATATTACTTCGTCTGATTCCGCAGTATGACGGAATCGCCCGAATTGTCACGATTGCAATCGGAACTACATCGGCTATTATCATTAAACCGAAGAATGACGGAAAGGGCCAAAAAGTTGCGATTGGCACGATTGCAGCTGGTTTCCCATTTAATCAAGTACTAACAAATGTAAGCAGGAAACCACCTAACCGGAACAGCTTTTCCAAAACAGATGGCTTGCAACCGTGGCTGCAAGACAAAAAGACATTTTGTCGGTAGATGATAAGTGTATGTGTGTGATTTTTTGCCATCTGAGTTAACCCATTACCTCATATATACGCGAAACAACGCACTTTCGACCCCCTCTTTCAGGCCTCAAATAATGAAAAAATGTTCTGTTTGGGCCCCAAACGCATGTTTTCATTTGAGAAATGTTGATAAAAAAGTGTGAGCACTTTTTTCGGCGCCTCTCCCCCACCCAAAAGGTACATCAGGGGGTTGCCAGAAGGTGGATGTACCCCATTGTGTTTGGGGCTTTTGAAGGGGGCGGCAGTTACCCTCATCACCAAGAAAATTTGGTCTTGTGAGAGGCTAAATATGACCCCAGGTCGATCATTAGGTAACGTGTAACCAACGCTGCAAAACCTTTGACTCTATCTGAATCCATTGAGAAGTTGCAGCACTTTGAAATCAATTTTGATAAGAAAAAAATCAACGCAAAATAGTGATTTTTGTCAATTTTGAGATGTCCCCTCGTTGCCATGGTAACAGAATTTTTTTTTAAAACTGAGCATGTTGTTACAAAGGCAATGGTCCAGTCAACATTAGTGCCAAGTTTGATTAGTATTGAAGAAGTTTTTATAATTTAATAGCAATTTGAACCTTTAACGGGAGACTTTTCAATAAAAACAGCCATTTTTCACAAAATGCTTATACAGTAATGGGTTAAACAAAATGAAACGAGTGTTGACCCATCCATATAGATGCTAATTATTTTAAAGGTCCATAAAGTCTCAGAAGTGCTTTTAATATTCTATTTTTCAAAAGTTTTTTTTTAGTTTTAGTGTCCATTTAAAAATTCCAGAAAAGTAATAATAATTGTAATAATAAAGTATTTGTATGAAAGTAAAATACTTACATTTTAACGTTACTACTTTTACGACACATTTCATAGTCAGTTTTTCTTTCTTCAGTAACAGGCATAAAACATGCTCTTAAACCATTAATTAAACGTTATAAAACTCATTTTTGCCCTTTCTTTAGAAGTAAAAAAGTTCGTTTCTGAGGCATAATGTGCCTTTAATGCTTTTAGAATTTTATCAGGTTGAAGTGAGATGAGAAACCTTATTCATGTTTAAATTAATTTGAACTGATAAAATTCCTGAAAGTTTTTTATGTAAGTGGCTACCCGTCATACGTTTGTCTAATCTTATTATCTTTTCTTTTTAGAAACACTGAATAATGGCGTCTTTTGGTAATGATAGTCAACCTGACAAGAACCAACTTGGTTGCTACCAAATTATAAAAGTTGGAAAATTCTGGCTTTTGAAGGTGAATGAGAGGTCAATGAGAATAAAATTCCTTGATCATGCGAAAGACGTCTTTATAGAAGAAACCTTTTTAATCGCAGACGATGAAATATTTGAAATAAAGGACAACGAATCCGGAGAACTTTCAATTAAAAAAGTGGAAGAATTTTTGCATAATCCAATAGAATGTGATCTTTCAACAGATCAAAATGAGAATTTATTTGAAGTTGGTAACGCTGAGATAGATAAGGCTATAGAAATTGAAAATGAAAATCTTGACAAAGACGGTAATTTTATTTCTGTAAAATATCTTATTTGTCAATGTCATATTTCTTTTGATCTAGGTAGGTGTATTGAAATCTTAACCTTATGCTATGTTCCATGCGACAAAAGCAATTATGATTTTGACCACCGGGGAGAAAGCGGGATAAGTAAGAAATCGCGAGATGATATGCCGTAATTAATACCATAGATGATGGACTAGAATTTAAGCTGCCAAATATGAATTCCAGATAGAACGGTATCTGAACTTAATACGCATTAAAGGATCTATTTTTTCATTACAAAAGCACTTCACGAATTCGTGATAAACCTTAATGAAAATTAGCACAACCTAAAAATAAAATACATTTCGGTCAAACCGGGCTGCTGAGGTGGCCGAGAACATAGTGTAAACGTTCGTAGCATTGATATAGTATTGACTTGACCGGCTGTCCATTAGAAATCATTGGATATCGTGATGAAAATTTATAGTTTATCACCCCAGAGTATCAAACTTGGATTTGAAGACCTGGTTTTACGCAATCAGTTCCAACAAGGTATTAGTGTTACTCTTGTTCTCTGGCACTTATTTAAAGAAGAATTACATTTATAAGTTAGTTTCCAATTGGATTAAAACGTACGAGGATACGGTACCAAAAAGCTTCAGGCCCGTCATAGCCTCGTACGTGCCCACTAACTTGGCACATTAAACACACACGAAATACCTGTACAATCGATACACATATATTCTTATTGGAAGATACTGGACCGAGTTAAAACGCGGTTTTACACAGTTAAAGTAGACATAAACAACTTTGCATCAGTATTGTGTTGTGCATTTACAGACCAAATGGAAGAAAGATGAAAACAAAAGCACCCCCATTTGATAGAAACCTTTTTGGGATAGTCAGGGGATAATCATGATTGACTATCTTGAGCAATGTCGTACCGTTGACGGTTCATATACTATGCAGACGAATATTGAGACGTCTGCGTCAAAATCGCGCGTAAAAGGAGAGGCAAACTGACTCAATGCGTTCTGCTCCTGCACGACAATGCCCCAGCTCATACATCCAAAGTTGCGATGGGTGCTGCAACTGACTGCGGCTTTGAAATTCTTCCCCATCCCCCATAATCTCCGGACTTGGCCCCCTCTGACTTCTACCTGTTTCCGAAACTTAAAACCGAGCTTCTCGGTAGACGTTTTGGATTCAATGAAGGTGTCATGGAGGCGGTCAATGAGTTATTTGAGGACCAACATAGAGAGTTCTATTTTGAAGGGTTAATCAAGTTGGAATACAGATGGGCAATGTGCATTGATATAGAGGGCGATATTATTGAAAAGAAAGACCATTAGATTGGTTCTCTAACTACCGACGGTACATAGGGCCAAGAACCTTTTGATCAATCCTCGTATATCTTATTTTAACATAGAAATAATTTCTGGTAGAAAATCAATGTTATTTATGAATTTATGAAACCTGTATTACTTTTTATATTTCTTTATAAGTTGGAAGTGTGGAAAGGAATAAATAAATTGACAACCAACAGCAAAATGTAAAACAAAACTACCGAACAAACGTTTTGAAATAAATGTTTATTGCTATAATTACTAAATATAATAGTTGTATTTAAGACAATGAATTATTTAAGACGCTATTAATGGAGCTTAGAAAAAGTACACACGACTGAGGGTCTTGTAGCATGATAGTGATCTTTCAGTCAGCTCACAAAGATTTAACGAATCGAACTTCTGTTCCATGTTTTGGGCTAACTATAAGGCCACTACATTCTTTGTCTGTGGTCCGTCTTAAAAGTGTAGTAACCGCCAACAATTTTCAGTACCTTTAACAAGAAATGTTTGATACTTTTATCATTATGGTCTAGAAGAGTGCGTTATAATATGAGAAATGGCTTACAGTACTTTGGACCTCATAGTATGATATCGTGATCTCCCACAAACAACCTCAGCCTTCGGCTTCAGTCGTTTTTAATGTTTGCGAGCTGACTGATCGGTCACTATAATGCTATATGGCCCGCAATGCTTTGTATCATTTCTTAAATGAGATCTGGAATACTGTGTGCTATTGCTTATATTATACCGTATTTTACCAGAACATAATGGTAAACGACAAGGAAGCAAATCATATAGCTTAAATAAGAAAACTTCTGGCAAAATATACCGGAAACTGTTAATATTGCGCATTTTATCAAACATTCCTCGTTGTTACACGAACGCCGCTAACTTTCAGCAAAAACAAAAACGTTTTTTAATGAGGTTATTTTACTCATGAAAGGCACAAGCATATCAGTAATTACTATTCAAGGTTTCCTAGTATTTTAATTTTTCAGGCTCTAATGTGAAGCGACAACAGAAATACCTTATTTAATCTAGCCATTTTTGTTAAAGCAATAATGCTGAAATTTCGCTAAGTCATTTTCCTTATTTACTTTTTTAGTTCTATGCCATGTTTGTATTATTATTTTTTGTTGTATTGTTTGTTTGTTCACTCTTATGCCCTTAATGGCCATGAGTTTTGTTTAAAAAATAAATAAATAAATAAAGTTAAAGTGCCCGAGGACGTGGTTTTTGTACATTTTTGTCGGACCGCTTACACTTATATAGATAAAGAAAAAAAGCGTTTATGTAAAGTATAATATATAAATATATTTTTCATGTGATTTCAGTTAACAAACACAACACAAACAGCATACAGGTAATGCTTTTAGTTATCGATGAACAATCTTCTCTGTGAACTTCCTGCATTCTCAACTAAACTTTCACATTACTTATTTTTGCAATAAATGATATCTGGGTTTTGTTCAATAATAATTCTTTGCGAAGATACAGCATGTGTAACATTACGGTAAAATTTCAAATAAACCTAAACAAAACTATTGTCACCAAGTGCTTTTGGATCATTTGTCGGATTTACCTAAATGTAACGAAGCAGAGGTAAAATTAAGCATAATACGTCATAAAAACAAAATGCAGTAAACTCTTAATGCGCCCGTTGATACCTATATTATGTAGGTAAAGCAAGACGAGGAAAGACAGCAAAGGACTCTGTCAGGAGTTTCAGTCGTACATCTGTCGCAGACCTGCTTTAAATATATGTGACAAAAGCTTTATTAACGTTAATAAAGAATTACGATTACTTCAGAATAAAGTTTAGATCATTTCAAAGGCGCTAAAAATGCATGTAAGGGTGATAGCTTTTTGATATCAGGTTATCTTTTTGATATCAGGTTATCTTTTTTTTTTAACTTATTCTGAAGATATCTTTTATTTTAACCAATAGCATGTTGTTTTACATAGTTATTATATTTCATTTAGA